TGCACTCTGCCATTGACTACAGCAAAAGGATCAGGACAAAGTTAGGGGACTCTCAATACCAAGGACAATAATGTTTTTCCTTCTGCCAAAGTGTTATCTTGGGAAGGAGTAGGAGGAAGGAAGGAATACCTTCAATGTTGTGTTGTTGTTGTTAGGTGCCGTCGAATCACTTCCAACTCACAGCCACCTTGTGTACAACAGAACAAAATACTGCCTGGTCCTATGCCATCCTCACAGTCCTTGTTATGCTCGAGCCCACTGTTGCAGTCAATCCATCTCATTGAGGATCTTACTCTTTTTTGAAGACCCTCTACTTTACCAAGCATGATGTCCTTCTCCAGGAACTGATTCCTCCTGATAACATGTCCAAAGTATGTGAGACAATGTCTTGCCATCCGTGTTTCTAAGCAGCATTCTGGTTGTACTTCTTCCGAGACAAACTTGTTCATTCTTTTGGCAGTCTGTGGTATATTCAATATTCCTTGCCAACACCATAATTCAAAGCCATCGATTCTTCTTCGGACTTCCTTATTCATTGTCCATCATTTGCAAGCATATGAGACAACTGAAAACACCATGGCTTGGGTCAGGTACACCAGGTGACATCTTTGCTTTTCAACACTTTAAAGAGGTCTTTTGCAGCAGATTTGTCCAGTGCAATGCGCCATTTCATTTCTTGACTGCTGGCTTCCATAGGTGTTAACCGTGGATCCAAGTAAAATGAAATCCTTGGCAACTTCACTCTTCTCCGTTTATCATGATGTTGCTTATTGGTCCAGTTGTGAGGATTTTTGTTTTCTTTATGTTGAGGTGTAATCCATACTGAAGGCTGTGGTCTTTGATTGTTATCAGCAAGTGCTTCAAGTCCTCTTCACTTTCAACAAGCAAGGTTGTGTCATCTGCATAACACAGGTTGTTAATGAGTCTTCCTCCAATCCTGATGCCATGTTCTTCTTCATATAGTCCAGCTTCTCAGATTATTTGCTCAGTATACAGATTGAATAATTATGGTGAAAGGATACAACCCTGACACACACCTTTCCTGACTTTAAAACACGCAGTATCCCCTTGTTCTGTTCGAATGACTGCCTCTTGATCTATGTACAGGTTCCTCATGAGCACAATTAAGTGTTCTGCAATTCCCATTCTTTGCAATGTTAAACATAATTTGTTATGATCCACACAGTCAAATGCTTTTGTATAGTCAATAAAACACAGGTAAACATTTTTTCTGGTATTCTTTGCCTTCACCCAGGATCCATTTGACATCAGCGATGATATCCCTGGTTCTAGGTCCTATTCTCAATCTGGCTTGAAGTTCTGACAGTTCTCTGTTGATGTACTCCTGCAGCCACTTTTAAATTATCTTCAGCAAAATTTTACTTGTGTGTGATATTAATGATATTGTTCAATAATTTTTGCATTTGGTTGGATCACCTTTCTTGGGAATAAGCATATATATGGATCTCTTCCAGTCAGTTGGCCAGGTAGCTGTCTTCCAAATTTCTTGGCATAGACAAGTGAGCACTTGCAGCGATGCATCCGTTTGTTCAAACATCTTAGTTGGTATTCCACCAATTCCTGGAGTCTTGTTTTTTGCCAATGCCTTTGGTGCAGTTTGGATCTCTTCCTTCAGTACCGTTGGTTCCTGATCATATGCTACCTCTTGAAATGGTTGAACGGTGACCAAACATCTTCATTAGGAAGTTAAATTCAGCATTGAATGAATATTTGCACAAATGAGACTGTCTTATGTGGAAATGTCTAGGATCCCATTAATTGGCTAGTTAATGGTTTTCCGTACCTACCAAATTGGGTGAGAACTTGTAAAAAAGATTATATTAATAACAAGAAATAAAATGCAATATTTTCTCTGCACACTTGAGTGTTGGTTGGATACTTCTGAAACAACTATTCCAAGATTCATTATTTTAGCTAAGTAATGAAGGAATAGTTCTATAACTAAGTTGTTGAGACACTGGGATGTTAATACTGACATCTCTGGCCATAAATGCTTTCTCTCTGTCAATTGCTTGACTTTCCTTTCCAGATAAAATCATGTTGTATCTCTTTCTCGCAACTTTTGATAAACTCTTCTCTCAGTACAGTGCACAGGAGGAGTGACTGTATCCACTGGTACAATATAAAAATATTTTGGTCACACCTCTCCATTTGCTATTCCCCTTTATGTATTTCAGGGATTTTTCTCACTTAAAAAAAATTAATGTAAGGCATCACACTTGTTCAAAGTTCTGTTAACAATCTCTATACAATATGGAATACATATTTTTGTCATATACTGCTTATACAATGGTTTGAAATGTTCTATTCACATAGGCATCACTAAGAATTCTCATATGCAAGGAAGATAGTAAGCAAACATTATCTTAATTTTACATATAGGAAACAGGTAACGGCAGTAGGACTTTGCGTAAAGTCATCTTTAAAATTTATTCTGTTACAGGCTTAGATTTGAAAGGTAAGGAGTACATAGTTTATATGAAGAGTAATCATTTCTGTTTGAAATAAAACTATGACCTGTCTTCATTCATCTTATTTGATAATGATAGTACTGTTGAGTTACTTCACTTCCTCAGATAACACACATATTAGAATGTTAAACAGTCCACTAGTTCATGGTGGTTACTATAAAGAAATTGTTAATTATAGGATCCCCCCCTCCCATATTTACCTGCTTCCAGGATAAAGTCATTTGGAAAAAAAATCAAGAGAAATATACAATGCAACTATTTAAATAAAACAAAAGTGGGCTGATTACCCAAGGTATTTAGTATATTAGAAGATATAAATATACTTTATTTGAAAGCAGCTCCATTGCTCAATGTTTGTAGAAAGAAAATGTGTTTAAAGCTCTTATTAAAATGAATTTATGTAAATATTCAGGGACAAGAGAGTGCTTTAAAATAAAAATGAAAACCTTGGGCTCTTGAGGTACTGGGAGTTACTTGCACAATCCACAAATTATCTGCTACCTCTTTTTAAAGACTATCATTGTGCAATAAAATATTAAAATATAATTCGGATTGAATAAATGAAGCTGGGTTGTCTTTCCTATCTTCAGTATGAAGCTGGCTCACATTCAAGGAATGCTTTTTGAATATTTCAGCCTTTTGACTCTTCTCCAATGTGAATCTTTTGGGAATAATATTAAATCTGCTTAGATACATCTGCTGAGATAAAACCACACACACACACACACACACACACACACACACACAGAAACTGAGCCCGTTTTATTGAAATTATCTCAGATATTCACTAAGTTATTCACTACGATCTAGACTCAGACATTTATTAAGACTTATAAAAAGTTAACGTTCAGAGTTAACATTTTATAATTTCTGAGAATAATTGTTTGTTAATAGTCTACCATGCTTTTTAAAAGAGCTCGTTAAAAAAGGACATATCATGGGTACCAGCCTAAATTTGGGGGTTCATTAATACAAAAGATTAGAGTTCCTTCAGCTGTTATTGCTTATTCTGCACAATCCATTGGACTTGTGTGAGGTAATATTTGTTTCTGTTTCCATACTCAATGACCTCATTCACTTAGCACGGATTTATTGAACACTTCCCATCTTGCAGGTTCTCCTAGTGAGTATAGGCCTATATGCCCAGGTATACGTATAAGCATATACCAGTCAGCAACACTGACATGGTTTCTACCTTCATAGAGCACCTTAGTTACATAGTGCTGCTATAACAGAAATACTACAGGTGGTGGCTTTAACAAACACAGAAATTTATTTTCTCACAGTTTATGAGGCTAGCAGTCCAAATTCAGGATGGTGGATCTAGGGGAAGGCTCTGGAGGAAGGTCCTTGTCTCTTCATTTTCTGGTTCCTTGGAGATCGCCATGTGTCTTGGCATCTATCTCACCCCATCTCTCCACTGCTACCTTGTTTAATCTCTTTTATAGTTCAAAAGAGATTGACTCAATGTATACCCTACAATTATCCTGCCTTATTAACGTACAAAGACAACCCATTCCCAAATGGGATTATAACCACAAGCATAAAGGTTAGGATTTACAACACATATTTTGGGGGACATAATTCAATCCATAACAGGGAGTTTTCAATCCAGTGTGGCAAGAGGAGACATTATCAGTTACTCATCAAACACAGTTGCAAACTATGAATAAAAGACTGTCAATTGGATCGAGGGGTGGGGGGTGGGGTAGGGAGAGTATGATGCTGGTCTTGAAGAAGAAGAACTTGGAATAGTAATTAATCATATAAAGAGTGAGCTGTTGTGTTGACGTGTCCATCAAAGGGAACTGTATGTACGAAATCCTTCAGGTGGGAAGAATCTCCGTGTTGGGAAAACTGCAAGGCCATTTGCAAGATGAGGCTGCAGACAGGTAGGAATCATGTCATTTAAGGATCTTATAAGATGGTTTCAGTATTTCCATTTTTATCCTAAGACAAGCAGGTGGCGTCCTTACCATACGACAGGCAGAAGTGTTTTTGCTTTTGCGTTTTGGCCAGCGTGGCTTTTATCTGTTTCCAGTGGGGCGCACTGAGGCGGGGCACCCACTGTCATCGTTCCCACCTAGCCCTCCTGGCCTCGCGCATGCGTACACCCGACTGGCCCCTGAGGTAGCGCCGTTTGCAACCCCTCTCTGAAGACCCTTGGTACACCGTTAGATTTTGTATTAAAATCACGGTGAAGAGGAAGAGGGGGGAACGGACCCACACCCGCCCTAAAAGGCGCAGGCGGGGTCCGCACTTGGGGAGAGGGTTGGAGGTGGGAGTGGGAGGAGGACGCCGCGTGTGAGGGAGGTAGGGAGCGACGCACGGCAGTAACGCAAAGCAGTGACGCACGACAGCGTCGCAGTTGCGCACGGTCGCACCGCGTTGCCAGGGCTGCGGGGAACGGTGTCACCTGGAGGATGGTCCTGAGCTGTTGGAAACACGACCTCCTCTGTGGGCTCAGCCCCGACTAGTTCCAAGGCCAATCTTGACGAAGGCCAAGCGGGGGAGGAGCGGAGTGTGGTGCACAGTGATAATCAGCCGCCCGGAATGCCTGGGGATTCCAAAGAAGCGTGAGTAGAATCAGCACCGACGGACATCAGTGCAATGACAGCCTTTTCGGGGGAGCCCTCCGAGTCCTTGGCTGATGAGGTGGAGAGTTCAGATTCGTTCAGTTCCTCTGGGGGGCGGCAGCCCTGGCCCCATGCATCTGGGAGCAAACCCGAGAGTGGAAAGCAGACTACAAGCTGGGAACATCAAGAGAAACCATCTGAGCTGTCAGATTTTAAAAATAATGAAAATAAATTTAGTAGGAAATGGATCAACCACCTCATGGGCAAGGAAACTAACTCTGGACGGTACCAACCAGATACTGAACTTCAAAAAGAAATCAGTCGGGTATCAGACAAAGAATTGAATGCTCTGCAGTCTTTTTGCAACGTTAAGATAAGCCTGATGCATGGCAGACTGAACTATAAGGAGGTGAAGAGCAGCAGAGGTAAAAAGATGCAGCTTGGACCGGATGCAGAGGATCCAGCCATAGATGCATGGAAATGTGCTGCTCCTGATGAGCTTTCCAACAGAATCTACTTAAAAAACACGAGGGCCACACTACAACAGGTGTTAGCAGCTAAGCAACACGTTTCTCCACAGTGTCACCACTGTAACAGTAAAAGAGCAGAACTCGCCCAGTCTGCCTTCCTGGAACAAAAGAAGACTTTACTGGAATCACTTCTTCTCCAACAGAAAATAGATGAGCATCTTCACACCAAAGATTTTCTCACTTTTATTGGAGAAGCACACAAGAGCCTTCCCAGGCTTTCAGATGACCCCAGACTGATCTGGAAAAGACTGACTGAGAAAACTCAGATCAGATACTCCGGCTTTGAAAAGGCAGATACAGAGCAGAAGATGTAGCAGGATGGAAATAGCACTTGGCGTAGTCACCTTTTTGGCTAGCACTTTTCAAGCCACTGAACTCTGACTGGACAAGATAGTGTTCACAAATGATGATGTGTCCTATAGATACGGGTCCTCTTATGTATTTGAATAAGTCCCACCATTTCTAGAGGCACTTTGGAAACTAACTTACGACTTTACTTTGTTTCCTTTACAGACTGGAGGACTAAGAACTTTACAGCCAGTATGTTTTTCATATTATAGAGGACAACTTGGTAGTTGGAATAGTTAGAAAGCTTTTGCAACAATCCAGGAGAGAGATGGTAGTTTGGACTGGGGTGTTGACAGTACACACAAAAAAAGTAGAGATGTAAGAGATAACTAGGAGGTAGTAACTGATAGTCCTTGGTGATGAAATGGATATGAGGATTTAATAAAAGGTAAATGTCAGTAATGCTACTAGGTTTCTTACTTGTGCACCTGGATGAATTTCATTAAGACAGGAGCATTGGAAGAGGAACATGATTGATGGCACTGACCGTGAGAGTGATTATTTGGACATGGTCAGCTTACACGGTTGTTATGAGTCAGAATTGATGGCGCCCAACCACAACGACACATCTGAGGTGTATTTGAGACATCCACATGGAGAAGTTGAGGAAACATTTGGTTATTTTTCTTTCTGTCTGGAGGAGAGCTGTAGCCTAGAGATTTGAAATAAAAGGGCAAGAGGAATTTTTGGCTTATAGTTGGAAGTTGACGCTGTAGGTGTGGTGAGCTCTTGTGGAAGTGAGTGATTGAGAAGGGCTAGGCTCAACTCCTGAGGAACTCTCACAGTTAACAGGCTGGGTGGAGGAGAAAAAGCCAGCAATGGTGGCTGAGAAGAAATGATTATAGAAGGATAAAGGAAATAGGGACTGTAGTGTCACAGAGGAGCCCTGGTGGCACAGTGGTTAAGAGCTTGGCTGCTAACCAACAGGTTGGCAGTTTGAGTCTACCAGCTGCTCCGTGGAAACCCTGTGGGGCAGTTCTACCCTATCCTGTAGGGTTGCTATGAGTCAGAATCAGCTCAACAGCAATGGTTTTTTTTATTTTTTGGTTTTTAGTGTCACAGACGCTAAGGAAGAAGAATATTTCAAGAAGGATGGGTTGTTAAACCACATCAGTGCAACTGAGAGGTCACTTAAGATGGTGTAGTCATATGTTGAGCACTGCTGACCTTAGCAACAACCGATTCACTTGCAGGTTTTGGGCAAAGTTGACTGACGAATAAATGCTTTAAGATGTCAAGCAGATGAGTGTAGGCTACTCCTTGAAAAGTTTAGCTGTGGTGAGGGAGAGAGAACAAACTAGAGGTAGATGTAGATTTGAGGGAAGAATGCTTGGAAAAATTCTCTGGAAAGCCATTTTGGTCTTGGAGATTTTTTGAAACTATCTCCTGTTCATCCTAATTTCCATTCTGATTAACAGTATCATCCCCTGAAGAATACCATGGTATTTTAAAAAGTCAGTTATTTAGGAAAATACTAGAAAGCATTCTGAGAAATCATATTTATGATTTTCTCTATAAAAATCTAAAATCCTAGAATTAGTAGCATTACCTAGAGTCATTTTTCTACATGTCTAACACCTAAACTACCTGAGCAACAAATTTATTTGCAGAGAATCCCCATAAAACAGTCTATTACATTCCAGTATTACTCTTCGAGTTGTTTTTTGACATTGAATTGATTCTGATTCAGCAACTTCTTAGGACAGAGTAGAGCTACCCGGTAGGGTTTCTTAGGCTGTAATCTTTATGGGAGCAGATTGCCAAGTCTTTTCTCTTGTGGGGCTGCTGGTGAATTCCAGCCACCTCCTGACCTTTTGGTTAGCAGCTGAGCACTTAACCACTGCACCACCAGGGCTCCTTTGTTTGGAAACTATTGTGTTGTTATGTGCCTTTGAGTCCATTTCGACTCACAGCAACCCAACAGGACAGAGTAGAACTGCCCCATAGGGATTCCTAGGCTATAATCTTTACTGGAGCAGATCATGAGGTCTTCTCTCCTTCGAAGCAGCTGGTGGATTCAAACAGCTGACCTTTCAGTTAGCAGCTGAGTGCTTAACCACTGCATGACAGGGCTCCTTCTCTTTGAGTAAAGACCTTTATGTATAAAAATTCTCATTCATCCTGTAAAATGTAGAATATTTCTTAATCATTCCTAAATAAAATGGAAACCAAATCATTACTATTTTCATAATAACTGTTTATTTGAAGTTCCACATTATGTCATGCTGTATCTTTGGCAACTCAGTATCTTCACGTTTTGCATAATCAGAATTCTGAATAAAATTTCATTTAAGATCTATCTCTTCATTAAAGGTTGTGCTCCACGCTTTCTGTCAACCAAGCTAGAAATCTTAGAGTCATCTTTATTCCTCCCTCTCCTTCAGGGGCCTGGTGGTGCAGTAGTTAAGAGCTTGGCTGCTAACCAAAAGGTTGGCAGTTCAAATCTACCAGTTGCTCCTTGGAAACCCTATGGGGCAGTTCTTCCCTGTCCTATAGGGTCACTAGGAGTTGGAATCAACTCAACCACAATGGGTTTGGTTTTTGGCCTCCTCCTCCTCCTCCCGTTTCTCCTCCTCTTCTTCCTCTTCCTCTTTCTCCTCCTCCTCCGTCTCACCGCCCTCAGCTTCCTATTTTTTAACAAGACCACCAGGTCCTTCCTCTTCAGTATCTTCTGGCCGTGACATCTTACTTCCATCCCATCACTGCTCTCATCATCTCTGCCCTCTCACACCTTTTCTCTCCTCTGCAGTCCATTCTCCATACCGTTGCCAGAATTATTTTTCTGACACACAAGTCTGTTCAATAAATTCCCTTTATGTAAAACAAAACAAAAACCTCAGTGGTTTATCAGTGCTACAGAAATGGTTCAAACTATTTAATGCCACTGGTGTTCTTTTGTATCTAGCCTAAATTTAGCTTTCTACTCTCATCTTCTGTCATCCCCCCCACCCCAAGTCAGAATCATCTTGAGGGCAACAGGTATATTCAGACTGAGGAGCACTGGAGTGGCTCCAGTGATCTGTGATCAGCTGCCAACCTAAAGGCTGACTGTTTGAACCCACCCAGGGGCTCCACTGAAGAAAGACCTGGTGATCTGCTCTGTGAAGATTACAGCCAAGAAACCATACGGAGCAGTTCTACTCTGTGTCACATGGCGTTACCATGAGTCAGAATCCATTGGACAGCAATAGTTTTCTGTTTATTTGTTTTTGTTTTTAATATTCAGACCACACTAGAAGACTTGAAATTCTCAGAGTCCTCTGGATCTTTTTCACCATTACGGTTTACATGTACACATTTGTCTGACTCAGATTCTCTTAACTGCCTTTTCCAGCTGGTGACTCTTAAACCAGCCTAAAATCTCCCCTTCTTTGCCCCTACCCCATAACCCTTAAACACCGCCTGATCAGAATTAAAGGCTGTAGCCTGTATGTTCTTATGGCATTAATACAATTTTATACTATAGCACCGTGTCTTTCTTAATGTGCTTTTCACTCTTCCTTGATTGCCAGCGACCTAAGAGGAGAGACTATTTTATAACCAAAGTGCTCGGCACCGTGCCTGGCACATGATGGTGTACAATAAGTTTCATGGATGAAAAAATACGTGCTTCCAAACAATGGGATTTACAATAGCTTTTGCACCAAAAGAAGAAAATAAGCTGCTAGCATACTATTATCTGTCAGTGTTTTGCCTTTGTGTAGCTGTTTTCTGTAATTTTTATCCCTTCCTAGGTTGGATTTCCTTTAAGCATATATGTGTATATATATATATATATTTTTTTTTCTTAGTGGTAAATTAGGGCAAAGGTTTTTGGTAAGACATCTTTCCAGTAAATATACAGCTAATTAATACAGTATTCATTTTTAAGAATTAAAAGACAGTTCTACGTGAGTCACATGTTCAGAAAGAAGAAGTGCATTTGAATTGTTAATTTAAAAAATCATTAATGACTTTCTGAAATTTTGAAATGAGTTGAAAGTCCTTGATGCTCAAGCTTGAAAAGGTTTTTTTGCCTTTGAATAAATTCAAAAGGAATAAATAACCTTACTGCAAACTTTTTATGGTTGCATCCAAGATAGTTCAGCTGAAATGAAAAAGCCCATCAGATCAGCTGCTAAGAAACCACATATTTCCCCAATGCACTAAAAATGTACCTGGCAACTTGGTACACAATTATTTAAATATGTAATTTGTGTAACTGTAATAAACAAATTGTGCAAATATGCAGTTCTTTAGATTACATTTTTTCATCTAGATTTTCTATCAAATAAAATAAAATTCTGCATCCAGAAGCAAATCTATACATTTAACAAACATAATGAAACCTTTGAAACAGAAGTAAATGATGTGCCAGAATAAGACAAAGGAAAGTTCAGTCCTTGACATCTGAGTCATTTAAATTCCAATCTCAGAACTGTTTAGGAATGTTTGGGAGCTCTGAATACCTCCAATTTTAATCATGTTGGTTTATTTCATGATGATGCCTAATATAGTAACTTGGCTGGTCTGCAGTAACAGAGCTAAACAGGTTGCAGAGAAGCAGGGATTATGGCTCTGTGTCGGTGTGGGTTTTCCCCCAATTCAGTCTGGAACTGACAGATAAAAAATACATGCAAAAATAGCTAATCTGATAAACAGAATATGAAAGATAGTTTCACTTCTGTTCTCAACTGATAATGCCCTTTGGAATAGAGAATTAAGATGGTTTTGCAATTTGCAGCAGACTCAAATTACACTGAAAATTGCTTCTAAAAATTCTTTTTCATAATGGCTTAAATAATCCTAAGATCTAGTTTTTATGAACCCACTGTTTGTTGAGGTATTGACTGAGGTTTAGGAGAGAGTATGCTGCAGCCATCCCACCTTCAGATATTGAGACTGATGATGCCACACACACTCAGAGGGTCTGAAAAGGGGTATTACTCTCATAGTGAGCTTTTGGAGCAGAGCAGGGAAGATCCCC